GTGAATTGGCGTTGCTGTCTGACATTACCACTCATCTCAACGTGTTAAACGTGCAACTTCAGGGACGAAACCACTTGATCACTGATATGAATGATTTATTGAAGGCATTTCAAGTGAAGCTGCGTTCATGGGAAACACAAATGCACCAAGGCAAACTATCTCACTTACCTTGTTGCAAAGCAATGTTGACCCAAGTCAGTGCAATGATGTTCCAAAGTACATACTTTGCTGAAAACTGAACTCATTTCGCATTGTGCTTTAGTGACTTCGAGGGACAGAAAAGTAATTTCGAGCTGTTTCGCAACCCATTTGCCATCGAGGTGGAAACTGCACCCGTACATTTGCAGATGGAGCTCACAGAGCTGCAGTGTAATGCGGAACTCAAGGCAAAGTACAACACTGCTGCGCCCGCACACTTCATCCGGTTCATTCCTGATGGCATGCCTCAGCCCCGCCTACATGCGGCTCCGATGTTATGTTTGGTAGCACATATATGTGAGCAGTTGTTCTCTGTGATGAGGATCAACAAAACATCCCACAGGAGTCGTCTCCCTGGTGAACACCTGCAGTCCATCTTGAGAATCTCCATTACACAGAATCTTAAGCCAAACATAAATGAACTTGTCGCCAAGAAAAGATGACAAACATCCAGCTCTGACAAATTGGCATAGGACCTAAAATTAGTGTGCCTTATTTTGATTTTATTTCAAGGTGTCGGTTTCAATTAATATTATTGTTTAAAAAAGCCTTCATTTTCCACTGTCCAAGGAATGTTCACGCCGTGTGACCCGCTATATTAAGTGTGATACCAAATTTGGCCCGCCGTGAGATTGAGTTTGACATCCCTGGCTTATTGGGTTGTACTTACATTTGAACAATCGCATATTCACCCCGCTGCAAATGGCCTTATCGAACGTTTCTATCGACAGTTAAAAGCCACCAGTACAGCCAGTGCACCTGACACACGTTGGTCGGAGCTAATTTCAGACGTTCTTCTTGGTATTCTTAATATCGTCAAAGAGTATGTTGCCCTGCCGAACTCGTCTTTGGCACAACTCTCAGACTACCAAGTGCGACAAAACTGGATTCCCGAGTCGTTAACTTAGACCTAATTTCTTAGGCTGAACACCTTAGATAGTAAGTTGGAGCAATTCGACCTACTTGCCTCGAATCACTGCTCGCGAACAACGAATTCACCCGGATTTACACAATAGTCTACTCGTTTTCATTCTCGTCGATGAAGTTCGAAAGCCTTTAACAGCTCTCTATGAAGGCCCATCCAAGGTGTTATCACGAAAATCCAAGTACCCGATCTTGGAGAATAATGAAACAAAGAGATTCGTGAGTGTAGACCACTTAAACCTGCCTACGTTGAGCCTATTGTTGAACTTTCAGACAAAGTCCCAGCGGTGTGTCTGTCTTGTGCTTGTTATCTGCACCGAATTTCTTTCGGCTCCGTAGAGTTCCAGCAGTTAAATCAAAATCCGCTTTTAAACCCTCACATCTACCTGTTCATAACTCGGAATTTAAAATTAACTGATATATTCACTGGAGAGCCTCGACCACTCGCAATGCAAAGTATCGGCGAGTTGTGCTTGACCACACGCGTAGAATCTCGCACCCGCGACGCCATCAACCTGATCACCGACCGCTACATCTAGCCCAAGATGCCCGCTGATATTCTGCGGAGGGCGAAACATTGCATTACTTTGCAGAATTGAAGATACATCGTCACACGATTACTGCTCCTGCAACATTTTCATTGTCCGATGTTAGATTCAGACATATTTATACTGACATCGTTGAACCCCCAACAAACGGTTTTACTCACGTGTCGATCGTTTCACGCGTTGGCCACATGCCATGCCGCTACGAGATGTCTCAGCCGAGACCGTTGCGGGAACTTTCACCGAAACTCGGATATTCGTGTTTGCCACTCCCGCCACCGTCACCACAGAGAGAGGATCCGAATTTAATTTCACCCAGTTTCGTGACCTTACCCGCATGCTCAGTTGTTCTAGCCTGCTCACGACATCCGGCCGCTAACAGTTTAGACGAGCGTTTTCATCCACAACTTAAGGCCGCACTTACCGCTAGGCAATCGAATACATAACTGTCGCAGGGTCTACCGATTATTCTCCTCGGTATCTGCAACACTGCAAAGAAAGTTATCCGTTATTGTCTTGCATAATTAGTATTATATACCACACTAAGGCTTCCCGGGACATTAGTATTGGATTCAAGTCATCGGTGAAGTGGATCCTACGTTGCATGTTGCACGACTGAAACAAAAGTTTGGCGCCGTTCGTCCGACGCGGCCACGATCCAGCTCTCGAAGCTAATATATTCACACAGGCCCTCTTCTTCCTGCGCGTCGACGCGGTCCGGAAACGTTTGACACTACCTTATCAAAACCCTTTCAAAATAGTTGCCCTCAAGTAGACATATTTCACGTTAGACAGAAATGGTTCTAAAGACTCCGTCAGTATCGATCGCTTAAAACCAGCAAGTCTCAAAATCCGGTCGGGGTCATCATATGTAGGGAACATAATTCTTCAGGTATTCCTTAGGTACATATTTACATTAGGTTATGCACATCTACATACACATCCAGTTTAACATACCAGATTCTTCTACACACTTTGTTCACACATATCACCAGCCACTGACTCAACCCGTTGCTGGCCAAAGAGGATAGTCGAGCTGAAGTTGAAACAAAGGTCAGCGCAGCTGGGAAGTAATGTAGCAAGAACGTGACATAGTGGCCACATAGTGACATCTATATTTTTGTAATACAACATATGACAGTAGCTTTTTCTCTCTTCCCCTTGGGGTGTGAAGGCAGACAACTTTAATTTGGTGGGAGCATTAAAAATACACTTTGAGAATCATGAACCCGTTTATCATCCTTCAATGGCGAAGATTATCACCTCACGCTCAATGGCCCTACAACATCTAAACGCTCCCTTATCCCTAACATCCACCTGTGGCAAATTGGGACAGACGAAAGCGCACGTTTGGGGCATGCAGTTGTTCCTACAAAACCAGCTACCCAAGAAAAATATCATTTGTTCAGCTTTCAGCATCCAGATTCATGCTCCAGTGGAAATTCTTTTCATTATCTTAATTTCGAATTTCGTTCCGCAGTATTGCTTGGGTTCGCTGTGCGTGCTTTCGTTGTGACTGTTCGGTGCTGCTGTTTCGTAACTAGTAAGCGGAATTACTGTCCACTCATATGGCACTGTATGTGGAAGCAGACGGCTAGCTTCGGATAATTCGAAAGGCTAAATTTAACTGAAGATCTGGGTAACCGTCTTCGTAATTGACTGAGCTTATCACTGAAATTTTGTAAAACCTTCCTGCCACGACTTTTCCCCCCGGTCCCGGCAAAACGCATTAAACTTGAATTATTCAATGTGTCAGTATTTTACACTGGAATTTGTTTGGTTCCATAGTTTGCGACTATCCATTCTAATCTGGTGGTGTATTCCGATCACTTGCGCTCTCCCATTGAGCCTTGCGCGACGTTTCTCTCTGCTCAATTACCTGCTCTACATCCATTGGAGCCCTTTACAGTACACCTTGGGTCCAACTGCCGTTACTGTATTCCCGTGAGCGGCACAGCGTTTAGGTGTCACCACTTGCGATCAGTATGTGAGTAGCGACCCCACAAAAACCGGTCGGGTGGATTCTAGAAGTATGAACACTGGAGGTAAACAGATCACGAATAATAATTTCATGGAAAGCACACACAAAAATATTGCTGTGTACGATGAGGTAGGTGAGAAGTATTTTTTTACCTACCAGTAATGGAAGCAAAGAATGTGCAACACAAGCTATTGCACCTAATTTCGAATTGTGGTATGCGAACTGACATTGCTCATCCGAACGCTTCTAGGCTACATGTATTTTCCAAGTTTAATACTCTCGAAAGCAATGAAAGCCTTCGAACTGCAAACAATTAGCAGATATTTGCACATTCCTTCGTGCAACATCGGAGTGATGCCAACGCCTGCATGTAAGCACCGAATGCTGCGTATATCTTCGGCAAGATACGCTGACATCACACTGCAGAGCTGTCTTGCATTCAACAGGTAATTAGCAGTTCCATACAGTTTTATCTAGGCATGTCAACACTACCGTCATAGTGGTCACTTAAGCATAAAGTCAAACTGGAACAGAGTTAAGGCAACATTAGTCCAACTACTTACAAACTTAGAACTAGAGTGGATCAACCGTTTCGTTAAACTATCAAACCTATGGTTTGCACCACGCAGTTTAGAGCTATTTTTAGGCTTTGTCCTTGCTCCCCTATCAGCTACGTTTGGGCCATGACACTAGGACATCCTACATCCATCCACGTTGAGCAGAAAATCATCACACATTAATGCGGTACACAGGTCTTCCTATAATGAAAGTGGCTAGGTCAGCTGACAAGCACCTGACGTTGACATTGATTTCCCGACCAGAGGCCACGCTTTAGCGGCTTTAGTTCTGGTCTTTGAGGCGTGGAATGCACGGTTCTGTGAGACTCTACTTTTGACGGAAATAGGTATATAATCTGCCAAGGTTAGGAAAACTCATAACGGAGGAACATGCGATAAAATTTTCATCCTTCACAAAGATCATTTTACGCATATTTGTGTTCTTAATATTTACGAGTGTTTGTTTTCTTTAGCAAATGGGATTTAAGGTAAGGAACACTCTATACAGTAATGTACATTCTCTCGGGCCGAAGAGAGACCGCACTGCATCATCAATTATGACTGAATCAGGTCTATTGCCGGGATCTATCGTTGCTAAGACCTACAAGTTTCTGTCCACAGAAAAGATATCACATTCTCACGCCTCACAGTAGGCTACCGGGAAGAGTACTGGCGATGAGTACCGAGAACCAAAAATAATCGTTCAGCGCTACTCTAGGCACTAAACGTTTTAAAATGTTTTCCATGCAGAAGCTGCAAATAAAAAGTAAAAGATTAAGCTGGATTGTGGGAATCACCACCACGACGACTTAGGTGCAGCATATTGAGGAAAACGAGAAAGACAACTCTGCTTTTACCATCAATGTTCACCGCACGGTGTGCATTAAATGGTAGAGGTGCGACCGAGCAGTCAAACGTAACAACTTATTATGAAGAGGATTCGGATGCTGAAAGAAATCGCTGTGCACGTTGAACGTATCATCCGACAGAGGAGGACAACATGCACACAGCACTACCGTAGAGGCGAGCACATCAAGCGTCACATTAAAGCGCGAACCTAGCACAGTATCAATGAGGAAATTCGATCTCAAGTGGTGTAATATTGGCATCCTAGGGAGCAATAACTGAGAAGAGTGATATGGATCAAAAAATCAAAGATAAACTATAATCTCGATCACAGCATGGTGACCGAGATAAAAACAAAAGGGATGGAAAGATCAAAGGTCAACATCTACATGTGTTTATCGGACACTGATTGAAACGTAGCAAAAGCAAATCGCGCAACAGAGACTAGTACCTGAGAGGGAGAAAGACTATGGAAAGACGAAAGAATGACAATGGTGACAGCAGTACTACTTTATGAATGGTTTGAGGAACTCCAATGGGATATGCTGTAATTCCGATGGAGGAAAGGGGAGCTGCATGTTGTCCGGTCTGCAATCTCCTTCAGTTAGGCTGTAGTCGGCCAACTTGCTGACACCGTGGTAGTGCACGAAGGCGGCGATCACAACGAACACGTGAAATATTTGGTGACTTTGGAACTGCAACAAAGGTGAATTACAGGGAATGAAGTCGATTGAACCCCAACGCGGTAAAAAGATTTACAATGCTACGTGGCCTAGTGTGGCGCACAAGTGAATAGCCGTTGTGCAGAGGGGCAAAACGGAAGACATGAAGGGATGCGGTGGTAACTACGGCGGAATAAGTCAGAATATAAACAACAAGCCCTGGGTGCACAACCTAATACCGTGTGAACATTGCTTCTGATACATGTCTAATTTAAAGCAATACAGGACGACCACCAAAGGTGTCCATGACAAATTTAGTGGAAACTGTCGTGCAATGATGTGGTTTCCGTGCATATACTAGTATACGGTGGCCGCATTTGCGAAAACCAGTCTTTATACTACAAACGAATGGCCGATGACAGATCAGAAGTGGACTACCTTATGAGAGACGTCAGACGCCCATTCACCAAGGTAGGCTTCATCGAGTGCAGTAAGAAACTTATGGCAAACGAAACTAATAATCGATCATCAGCCTTTAAGAGAGAGATGAGTTAAGAAGATTTCAACACTATCTAGACCATGCAGGTTGTGTTAAACAAAATGTGGCGGGGCCTTCAAATTTGACCGTTGCTGTTTTGATTGGAATATTGTTCTACGCTACTCACTGCGGAGATATTTTCACACCTGTTTCCGCAATTTATTTTCTATTTGTTTAAGTGAGCCAAGTTAAGGTCAACAAGGTTGGCGTACTCTGTTGACGAGTTGATTTCGCTCCGCGAAGTTGTACGAAGTTCTCTTCTGATCAAATATGGCCACAAAGTTAGAAATGCTATCAAAAGAATTGCCCACAAAAATATGGGGATAAAGGAAAGGCACCGTGCTGGTAGGCAACCTGGACTCAGACGCTGCCCTAACAAGAATGCATAAATGTTGCTTGTCCTATTCAATAATGTCCGATTGGTTATTGGAAAAGCTGATGATTTTGGCAGCTTTGTGCAAGGAACAGAATTTTCGAAAGCAGGTATAGTGATGTTACAAGAAAGTTGGCTACATCTCGACATTGAACATGGAGTCGAGAAACTCAGTGGTTATCGACCCATCATATCTGACCACCAAGGTAAGACCCATCACCGCGGAGGCGTGATCACGTACACCAGCGAAAAATGGTGTAGATCGGTTTCACAGCTGTCCACTTAATCAAACGGCTTCAATAAGTTACCGCCTGTAAACCAAAGTTTCTTAATGCTTTTCTATCTATTGCAGTTGGGAACGCTTATATAACGCCTAACGTAGCACTGTCAGAGATAAAAATGTTGGCCTCGGAATTGCAACCGAAGTTGGAATGTTTCCTCTGCATCATTGCTGGGGACCTCAATAGAAGTGACACAGACCTCATTAAAGTGCTAGATCTAACCAACTTGGTTGAACTCCCCACCAGACTTGATGCACCTTTAGATTTAGCTTTTACTAACAAACATAACCTGTTTTCTACACAAAGATGCGCCCCGCTTGGCAATTCGGACCACTGCACCGCGAAGTTATGTTCAAAGACTTAGTGCAAGACCAATTACGTTCCGATGACAAGGCTAACCAGAACCCTTAGGTGGCGAAACTGTTTAGCGGAAAACATTGCAAAGCCCAAATCAACGCTCCATTCAACCGACTTCTCGATTTTCACAAATGAGGTTCTGTCAGTTCAATGCGAACACCTCACAGACTACATCAGTATTTGTTTCAATCTCTATTGTCCCATTGAGGCCACCTATCTTCGGATTGATAGATTTTTATCTCCACTACTCAAACAGATACAAACTAACAGCCGGTGTCAAATGTCTATCAGTAGACATAAAAGCCGAGATAAAAAGGTCAAATAGTCTATACATTGAAGACAAATTGGGAAACCAAAAATTCTAGTTGTCTACTAGGTACTGTGAATGCGGGCAAGCACCACACAGGTTTTAGCTCATCATCAGCAAATACTATGGCCAATGTCTCCTTCTCGAGCTGACTGTAGTTTCTTTCGGCTTACGTCAGCGTCCTGGCGGCATGTGTGATCGCCTTCTGAGATCCATCTGGGAACGTATGGGAAACTACGGCACCGATCCCTAGACTCGATGCGTCTATGGCAAGAACAATTTCCCGGGAGGGATCAAAGTGAGTTAGGAGTAGGTCTGAAGTCAGCAATGACTTGACCCGCTCGAACGCAGTCTGGCATTCTGGCGTCCAATTCCAGGTTTGGCCCTTGCTCAGCAACTTATTCAGCATTTTTGTTCGTCGCAATCAGCCGACAATTCAGATATGTCGACCAGCTGTCCAGAAAAGCACCAGACGGCCGTTTCGCCCTATTGGGGCTCGTCAGTGGTGCGCATCCTTCGGTCCTCTGCGGAGGATCGAACCCATGACTGCTAGTGGCTCTTGCCAACTAGCCCGCAGCTTATGCAACTGCGCCATGGAGGACGGTATCTGACTACCGTGAATTGTTAGCTAAATGCGATATAGCCCGACGCATCCTCCACTGCCATGCAGATGACAGCGGTCGGCCTTCCGGCGTCAGGACTTCCCGGTTACGGCAGCTATGAATCGACATAGCATTTTGTGGAATCCGTACGGGCGAATTGGTAGTACTTATGAATGGAAGGATTTTGGTGAGTATTTTTGTTCGTCGCAATCAGCCGACAATTCAGATATGTCGACCAGCTGTCCGGAAAAGCACCAGACGGCCGTTTCGCCCTATTGGGGCTCATCAGTGGTGCGCATCCTTCGGTCCTCTGCGGAGGATCGAACCCATGACTGCTAGTGGCTCTTGCCAACTAGCCCACAGCTTATGCAACTGCGCCATGGAGGATGGTATCTGACTATCGTGAATTGTTAGCTAAATGCGGGGCACGCAGGCGATACAGGTCGGGCAGAAAAGCGCTGTAATGACTGATTAGGCCACAGAATGAACGCAGTGACTGCAAGTCAACAGGTGGGGGCATCTTTTGAATAGCTCGGATATTTTCTGGATCAGGGCGACGACCGTCTTTTGAGAAAATGAAACCGAGAAACTTGATGGTTGGTGTAAAAAAGGTACACTTGTCTTCGCGGATACGGAAACCATACGACTGGATACCTACAAGCACTTCAGCGAGCCGCTGAAATAGTTCTTCTGCTGTCCGACCCATTAAAATGATATCATCCAGGTACGCCGCGGCTAAAGAAACCCCCGCGAGCATGGTGTCCATCAGCTGCTGGAAAATGGCTGGTGCTGTTTTCACGCCAAAAGGGAGGCGGTTGTACTGGTACAAGCCACGATGAGTGTTGATGGTCAGCAATTCTTTCGAGCTGTCATCAACCTCGACCTGGAGGTAGGCATCGGACAAGTCGAGCTTGGCGAAACACTTCCCACCATTCAGCTTGGCAAAGATATACTCTGGTGTCGGAAGGGGGTATTGATGGTCGTCCAATGCGGCATTCAGGCAAGTCGAAAAATCGGCGCAGCCACGCACTTTACCGTTCGGCTTTCTCACAGCAACAATCGGTGCAGCTCATGAAGTGTAGTTCACTGGTGTGATGACACTGGCTCGGTCCAGTCGGTCGAGCTCCTCATCAACTGCTGTCAAGGCGGCATACGGTACCGGTCTTTTTGCTCTGAAGACTGGCTTGGTTCCTTCGCGAAGGCACAACTTTGCTTTGAACTTAGCGCAGTGACCGAGACCAACATAAAACAAGGCGGCAAACTTCTGCTTTAACTTGCTTGTCATGTCTTCTATCGATAATAATGCATGGATTGGGTCGGTTTGGAACCTAGTGCAAATCTGACTCATTGGAACATCAAACAGTTGTAACTCAAGTCCAAGGAGGTTCAAGTTTGGTCGGTCAGACAAGTAGCAGGTTCCGGCCTGTTCCACTCCGTTGAATGCAATTTTGCAATTTATTTCTGCGACCAGCCTCAGTACTCCACCGGATGCGTGGTGAGCGACTTTGTTGGAATCAACCATCTTCGGCTTCTTTATGTGTATCCAAGTGTTCTTGGAAATGATCGTTATATCTGATGCCGTATCGAACTGCAGCCGGGTTGGGATTCCGTTGATAAGCACAGTGATAAATCGGCGGCGTGTTCTAGAATCGCTGTGAAACGTGGCAATCGCCGATAGTAATACTGCGTCAGGCTTCCTGACGTTCTTCCTTCGGTAGGACTGATTCACGTTTCTTGGCCCGGACTGATGACAAAAGTCTTCTTTGTGGCCGCGTTTGTGGCACTTATCACAAATGTGACGCTTGAATAGACAGTATCGTGCCAAATGCCATTAACCACATGACCAACAAGGTGTGGGCGGCTTGTTCGGCGTTCTGTTGAACGGTTTGTTCGAGCCAGTCTTTCTCGCTTTTTGCACAGCATGAACAGTGTCGGCAATGCTGGAGCGACTCTGCTCAATCATAGCGGTGTCGTGTTTCAAAGTAATCAACCGTTTGTATTGGCCTACAAGAGACTTCAATGTCAAATCTGGATCTTGATCCAACTTAGCAAGGAGCCGAGTGCGGGTTTCCGCGTCGCGTGGAGACTGTAAAGCACTGACAAATATAAGACACTTAAACTGGTCAGCCGTCAAACAGCGTAACTTGAAACGTTCACACTCACGGTTAACCATGTCTGCTAGTGCCCCATAATCGTCTGTATCACGCTTAACAATTTTTAGACATTGGTAGCGAATGCCAAACAAAGACGTCGACTCACCAAAAATTTCTTTGAGTGTTGCCACTGCCTCGTTGAAAGTGATGTCCTTCGGCTCTTTGGGCAGGATGTGGTAAACGAATCTTGTAGGTTCATTAGTACCGAGCTTGCGGAGCAAAAGACGCCCTTTCCATGAATCATTTTGACGGCCGAAATCCGTCCAGAACATGTCCTCCCAGCGTTTGAACTACGCATCGAAAGTGCACTCGGAATCAGCATCATAATGAAATTCACTGATTGCATTCGTAAGAAGATCAAGTGAAACAGCCTGCGTGTTCCGTGTAGCTGCTCCGTTAAACTGTACGTTCAAGCACTGCGTCAAACTTTTAATCAGTTTCATTTGTGCTTCCATCTGTGGTTGTTGCTGAAGAAGCAGCATTTGAAAATGTTCGGCAGAAAAGTTTGTAACATTTTCGTGCTTGCCCTTCGTCATTTTTAGATCTTCACTTTTTCACACTATTCCGAATTGAACACCCAAAAGTTTCTCCGCAAAAATTTTAGCCCAGCCGAATAAAAATCAAAAGTCCAACTACGTTGCCCACGAAAAACATATTAACAAAAACGCTGCTAACGTAGCCGAAAATACCGCCAAAACGCTGTACCACTACACTAGACCTACGCCAAATATATAGGGGCTCAATGACCTTCGGTTTCTAGAAAACGAAGGTCAACTGGTAAAATTAGTAGCCTCCCCGCCAAAACTCCGTATGCTGGCGATCACGTGAAGGAATGGAAGGTTCCGGAATCTTCGAAATCAATGCACGATCGAAGATAATCGAATAATTGCTAAAATAATGATTTTCCTTTATGTTTTTACCTTTTCCCGGATAATCCCCCTATCTGTTTTCCCTCTATGTTGAGTCTCTGCCTATACCAACCAGTTTTATTGGGTGTAAATATGCTGACGACGTCGTCCTAGGGTGTATAACCCCAGTAATTGTGGTATCTTCGACACTCCAACGACAATTAGACGAACCCTTGACTTGGTTAAGCTCACGTCTCCTCTCCTTTAACTCTTCTAAGTGTTGGGATGCCTCATACTCTTTTCTCCGCCCGACAGAATGCCCTTTTTTTAAACGACTCTCCTCATTTAGTCGTGAGTGATCAAAGCATCCTTCGTTCATATTCCGTAAAGTAACTCGGCATTTGTTCTTGTCTTAAAATCTATCCTGGTCGATGCATATTCTTGAAACTTTTCAAAGGGTCAGAAGACTATGCTTCTACTCCCAGGCTTAAAACTCTCCGTACCGCATGCTTTAATTCTAAGACTTGTAAATGCATGTAGTCTACCCCACTGGATGTACTGTTTCCCTGTGATTTCCATCTTGCCATCTCTGTCTCGCTTGTTAGTCGACCCAATAGTAATGAGTTAACAATTGCGAGAACGTTTGCTTGATAGAAAAGGAACTCTATTTGCTGTTCGTGTCTATTCACATCATTTTCCAACCGATTTTACGTTGTTTGTAGTGTAAATTGCTGAAAATGCTCCCCCACATGGGGGCATGAAAAGCCTAGATTGACTTGAAAGTGATCACACCACGACCTAAGTGTGGAGTTGCTATATATAATCAACAAGCAACAAAGTTAGCTTTGTCAAGGAGAACAATCCGGATAATGACGGTCCTCTGCATCGATACGTAAGCAGTTCAGATTGGTGCCTGACTTTTAACGGCAAGATACCGACCGCTGCATTATTATGAATGCGCATAAATGTATGCTCGGTGGCGGCAAAGAATGTGGTGATCCAGGCAGGAACGCCAACCCATACGGTACATGGGATGGAGCCTAAGTAAAATGCCCACTAGTAACCCGCGTGGTATCACAGGAAGTACAAGGAGGATAACCATGGATTCGGCCGTCGGTTACGCATGAAAGTGAACCTTGATCAACTCACCCAAATATCGAAACGGCCTGGAAACAGACGCTCTGGCACACGTACGGCGTAGATGGTAGCCCCGGTCAAGTAGAGCATGGCCATCACCGATAACCAGCCCAAGGATCCTTTGTTCACCGAATGCCAAAAACCGTAAATCACAATGGAGTGTATGCAGGGGATGAGGCCGGACAAACCAAGTCCCATAAACAGGCCAGCGCGAAGAGGACGATAGCGTGGAGACGTGAATGATCGGTGCATCGAGACCACAACCGCTGACGTGCCAAGCACCGTGACGAGTAATGTGTAGAATATCTTGGCCCAAAGAGTGCAGTAGAAAGCGTAGTAGAGATAAGGTACATATGACCCAACGGTGAGAAAAGCGATCCCGGCGTAATCCAACCTGAAAAGTTGAAATGCAGATCCCTTATGTGGAGAGGGAAAGTAAGAATTTTGTACTTGAAAAGCGGAGAAGACACACGCGCAATGCATTGTAGACGCTACTGTGACAAAATGAAGGCAGAAGGCGCAAAATGCGGACGTTAAGTACGATTGACGCCCAAACCTGTGAGGTGCCCAAAAGATCAGATGGTATGTGTAATCAACCACTGTAATGGGCAGTCAGCCGTTTGCAAACAGCAAAGAAGCCTATATGAAGCGGCCATACACAAACTCAGCAAGGAATAGAATGGTTGTTGGGTCTTGGAGTGCCCGCCATGTGTATGGATTGCGACGTGCAACCGCATTTGTGGCCACAGTTTGCTTCGAAGCACATGTCGGCTATTTCGATCACCCGGACCGCATCCGAAGTGCAAGAAAGGAGACATCTTTCATGACAAGTAAGAGATAAGCAGCAGTAAGAGCAAAGATACGCGATCAAATAAAGTAGGAGATCGGGATGCGATGATAATGGGTTTCAACATAGACACGGTAGTGATGCGGTCCTGCAAAAGCAGGAAACTGCTCACAGTCACGACAATGAGTACTGAAAACGACGTTCATTGCTGCGAAGTGCAGAGGTAATGCTTCAAGTACATCGTGTCAAGATTGCGCGTGGAGTATTGCCAGTGTATCGTACATCGATGAGTGGGTCAGACGACGAGACCGCTCGGCTTTAAATTGGAATATAGACACCACAGTGGGCGAAAGTAGTCAACCTGCGCGAATAAGTCATAAACCCACTCTCTTGGAGACGGATTCCTCCAAGATTGGTCTGGACCGCCTCCTACGCTGACACTTGGTGGGGATCAGCTGGAAGTCGTTCGGAAATTCAACTACCTGGGAAGTTGTATCAGCGCCCGTGGGATTGAAGATGATATCACGAATCGTATAGCAAAAGCTCGGGGTGCTTTTGCTAACCTTCGCCACTTATGGAGCCGGCGCGACATCACTCTTGCCCTAAGGGGTACAGTATACAATGAAGTGGTACGTTCGACTCTATTGTACGGTTGTGAAACCTGGCCGCTTAAAGCAGCGGACCTGAAGAGGCTAGTTACGTTCGACCACCGGTGCCTTCGTAATTTAGCTCACATCTGGTGGGAACACCGCGTGAGCAACGAGCGTGTTCGACACCTTGTTTATGGCACAGGAAAAGGAAATGAACCGCTCAGCACCGTTATTTCACGCATCAGACTCCGGTGGCTCGGCCACGTGTTACGCATGCCAGCCTACCGACTCCCGCGACGTGTGTTGTTTGCGCGCAGGGAGTGTGGATGGAAGAAGAGGAGGGGTGGCCAAGCGATGATTTGGTCGAGAGGAATGAAGGCCCTTACTTCGGAGCTGGCCTCGGTTGTAGCGTCTCGCCTCCCTGGTTGGGGTCCGAAAGACGATGAACACGTTTGGTTGGACACACTTGGTGATATGGCTAGGAGCCGACCTCAGTGGCGTTCGTGCTGTGAGTTTCTTTGTCCCACCCGATCCCTCTTAGCCTCCCCCTCCAACCACGATCTCATTATTTAGCCTTATATAATTTTGCATGGTAATTTTTTTGGTGCACAGCAGCCGGCTGTTGGCTTACCGGAACGATGCCCATCCGTTACCGTTAGCTCAGCCAGCTTGCACCAGTTGCATTTTTTTCTCCTTTTTTCTATGTATTGCGGCACAGTAGCTGAGGTGTTTCCCACTTCTAGCTAACGTGTATGATGATGATGATGACTTGGAGACGGACCGATGTGTTGAAAAGTATATACTTAAAAGTCAACCCTCAATAATGTATAAGTGAAAACGGCGAGTAATTCACTCAGCGTAGGGGCGTGATGTGGAAGCAAAATGGTGCTCCTGAACGCCATTAGCTGCAAAACCTCAACTACTGTATAGGGCAGAGTGGATAAACAAGAACGGATCAGTACTAACCATTGACCGTTCCTGAATAAATAGTCACGAATCTTGTTGCGGCTTTTTTCACCAAGTGTATTGATAATACAATGAGCTGATAGTTATGTGAATAGAATGGAGGGGTAGAACAGTCGACTGCGTGGAGAGCAATTTTAACACGGCCAGTTTGACGAGCGTCGATACAAGGGGTCAGGTTGAACAGTAAAAAGTGGCATCACCTTTACCAAGGCGTTAATTGACAAAATGACGAACAATGAAACTCCGACAATAGTCGCATTCTGACTGACCCCTTGAGTTTACTTTCCATCTCTCTCTAAGAGTCTATTGGCTCAGAACTCAGTTGTCACGAGTATCACCATCACCCGTTATATAATGCCACACCAACTATGTACAAATTTACCTGGCCTGAAGAAGCTTTGGTACCAAAAGCGAAAGGTTACCAATTAAATAGACTAACCGATTGTCCACATATCTCTCCGAAACAATGAGTCGATACTGAGATGTGAAAGCTTACGTTTAGCTCCTATCTTTCGCTACGATCAGCAATTCTCAGTCACTGTGACGAAGTCTATCCGACACGTTCCCATTCACACTGGACGTTCCATGTGTTGAATTCCAAGCGAAAATCAAAGTACGCCCTAAATATAAGGTTGTGTAAAAATACAAATGCGGTTGTACGGCTTTAAGAAGACGGCTCTTAGATAGTGAAGATGTGGGACTGCTTGCGGAGCAATAAGCAAGATAGGATCAGCAAATAGACGCCCCAATATGAAAAATAATGATGTCCCAAAAAAGCGCCGAAGGTTTGCACCATGTTTAGCAAAACGCATGTGAAACGCGAAAACGTTGGAGCCAAACAACTGATCGATGCACCGGACTTCCAATAAACCAAAAATGCAGTCAACTTCCGACTAAATAAATACGTTGCAGCGGGTTGCAGGCGACGAAGCCGACAGAAGATGCCGCTTTGAACACACACACACACACACACACACACACACACACACGGATTCAACGTGAAATGAACAGCGATATGTCGTCATTTTACCACCAATATTATCACTACAACAGTAGTACACCAGCCATTTGAATTGATGCTTCGCTGCCGTACAACCACAGTGGCCTACGAAACGAAGAATAACAACAGGGAGAGAAGGGGACCTACCGTAAACATTTAATAGAAGTGCCATCAATTCAGTGAGAAACAGATTGTTTGGGTCAGAAAAGTATAAACGGAAGCAATTACGAGAGAATGAAACTCTGAGCAGCGAACTAGTTACTTGAATTGATGCGATGCCGAGATTACTTCAGGTTTTCAATCAACAGATGCCAGCGAACAGAGGCGCATACAGTAATAATCAAATAATCGTCAGCTGTGTGCCGTAACGGTGCTTCGCTGCCGCGCGACCACCACCAGCCGCGCGTAAGCTAAGCATACCGCGAGGACGCCCGCCCCTACCCGGATTCCAACCGGTAACCTCATGGTTGCAAACCAGGCGCGCAGACCATTCGGTCACTGGCCGACAGTGCATACGATACTAACAACTAATCCGTCGCAGCAACCAGTAGTTAGGGTATCTAGTGACGCGTAACACCGGCCAAAAGCGCATTGTGTCAATAAACGAAATGGTGACATCGAGAATCAGTGTCGGCACAACCTCCGCCCAATAATAATACATTAAAGTCAGACTTCCAGCGAGCAGATTGAAGTTACGCAAATCATTCGTTTGATCGGGCATGGGATACGCAATGCAATGGACGGCGTCACGCGAAGCCCGAAACAAATTCAAAGGTGGGAGAATCTTCTGATTGAACATACAATGCGCTCCTCACAGGGATCACGATGGCATCTTCATGGTCTCAGAGGTCAGAATAGTGAGTGCACTTTTATGGTAGAGAACAATCCGCTGGGTAGTTGATGTCTAGTTATGGACTGTCCTTAGAATCTAGGTGACAAGAGCTGGAGATGAGGCATTGCACAGTGGGGTAATTAGTTCGTCGGAGGAACAGCAGATGCGAAAGGGGAGAAACACTAAGTAAACAAATGGGTATGTTTTCAGATTATTTGTAGTGTTGAGTACCGCAAATCTGGGTTACACAAGAGGTTCAATTCACTGAGAAGTCCGAATACATCTGCAACTTCAATGAGGTCTAAGTGCATGAACAGTGAACTGTGAAGTCATTATGGATCATTATTACACATGATTTGTGGAATATGTACTAAGGAACAGACAAGAGAGATAGTTGCTGTTCGGGCGGGATTCAACGAGTGCACTCTTAGATTGTATGGAAAGAGAAGTTGGCACATGAGAGCTAAATGTAAACAAGTCTGCTTGTCCTTAGTTGCAACGATAACGTATCACAAAGATGGGCGTGCCCTACAAGGAAGAAATTAACGGAACTTCTTGATAGACTGAGCTACTTTTCAAAACGACAACCGTACCGACTGAAAATAAATCCGCAAAAGTATGATACTGCAGAAAATAGTGTGGTTTCTTTTCAGTCGTCGAAGCCAAAGTCAGACGACTTGAAAGTAAGAACATCGCTTCACATGGGTAACTGTTAACGAGCGCCTCAGGGTCATTTTGATAAGTGAGCGCTGGACGTTTCCCAAAATAATTTTACCAGCTTTGCGTAGGTTGCTAGGTTTGATGCTGCGGTGCTCTGGTGTGCACCGCACTATGAGTTTGAACGATTCAGGCAATGTTTGGGGGGTAACGAATATTGTCGTTTATTTCGCTTTCACTACTTGATGTAGAATGGGTTCAGGGAAGTTGAAGTTGTTAAAGCATTGATTATTAAAGTCTCGATTAGAGTAGGCAGTTGAAATGCGGGCACCCTTTGACAGAAAGCATCTGTGGTAAAGCATTTAAGATTAGGACAAAAGTAAAATATTGGAGGTGTATCACGAACTCCAAGGGAGATTGAGTGTGACAAACCGTTGCTTCTGGATATACATTGTTGGATTATGCTTGTTCATGGCCACTGTCTTGGCAAACGTGTGGTCTCTGGCCTTGGTATTACGATAGACGACAGTAAATGCCGAATCGGGATTGATCTGATGACCCA